GAGACAGAAGAGGAGAAGATGCGAGTGGACATCTTGCAGAACCAGGCCACAGACACCTCCAACGACCTGGCCAGGGTGTGCTACAGCCCCGACTTTGTGAGTTCTCCGTGGGCTGGTCCAAATCAGGGTTTGAGTGGGCGTCAGGAATCAGTGCACCCAGCTACAGTGGTCCTGTATGCCAGCTGAATCCCTTAGAACTAACTCAGATCTTCCCAGGAACCCTCATTACTGCTGCCATCACCCTAACTCTCACCCAACAAACACACAATCAATCCCCTCCAGTTTAAGAGTGAAATCAACTCCCCAACGTGGAAAGTAAGGGGTTAACAAGCTGGGAAACTTCTCCCCTGTTACTTCAGAGCTTCTGGTGTGAGCTGATGACCAGCAGCAGTGTCCCCCCAGAGTCTGTCTCTGCAGGGAAGCCCTCCTCTTCCTCCTTCCTGTCAGCATCTCAAATTCTCCTGGTCGTTCAGGAGGTCATCCAAATGCCCTCCGGGTTCTTGTACCCCCGACCAGCCAGAGCCCCCACATCTTCCCCTGAGCTCTTGGCCTTCTTGTTCCTGCACCTCTGAGTGCATCCCTCGACCAGGGCCTTAGCCCTCCGCCTCTGATGACAGGCAGATGAACGGAGGCACAGTGACAGATCAGTGTCACTCGCCTCTCTGCCTTCCCACTGCCCCTGACAGAGGGGCCTTCTACACAGTTCCCACTAGCCCTCTGCCCCAGAGGCAATGCCCACTCACAGTGACCCTGGGGGGCAGATAGAACTGCTCCGCGGGTTTCTGAGACTGTAAGTCTTTCCTGGAGCTGACAACATCCTCTCTGTCTCCAGGAGTGGCAGGTGGGTTTGAACTGCTGACCTTGTGGTTAGCAGCCTGATGCCTAACCATAGTAGGGGTCTAGAGAATTCTGGTTGGATTAAGTGGAAGCCTGTGACCAGGGAGGGGCAGTCTGGGGAGGATGGCAGCTCCCCCAGGGCCAGCTGGGTCAGTCAGCAGTGGGGCAGCTGCCTGTCTCTGGGGAGGGAGAGCTTTCTGAGGGAGGTGACAACTCTTTTCTGCCTCAGGAGAAGCTGAAGCCACAGTACTTGGAGGCCCTGCCTGGAAAGATGAAGCTGTACTCACAGTTCCTGGGGAAGCGGCCATGGTTCGCAGGGGACAAGGTAGAGGGGGAAGGAGACGGTGACGGGTATTGTCCATCTTCCCGATGGTGGTGCCTCAGCCCCACTCACCCTTGGCTTTCTGCAGATCACTTTCGTGGATTTCCTGGCTTATGATGCCCTTGACATACACCGTGTCTTTGAGCCCAAGTGCCTGGACGCGTTCCCAAACCTGAAGGACTTCATGGTGCGCGTTGAGGTAATGTCCCCGGCCCCCCCTCCTCTTCTATGCTTGTTTCCTCCCCTGCTCCATCAGGCTGTCTGAGTTTCGGCGCTCGAATGAACAATGACCCCCATTTACAGAGCACTGGCTGTATGCCAGGACTCGGGCTCAGCGTGGACCTCTCCAGCATCCTCTTTAGCCTTCATAGTTGGACAGAACTATGAGCCCCGTTCTCTAGATGAGGAAAGTGAGGCCCAGGGGAGGGGCGTTTTCAAGGTCACACAGCCCTTCCCCTGGGCTTCCAGTCAGCTCCCAGGGCAGGAGCCAGGGCTCT